TTAGAACATATGAATATACCATTTTCACACCGTGTGTTGTGTACTCACTCTTGTAGGACATAGCACAGTAGATTATTGTCCAGAAATAATTCATATTTTTTCTACTGGTCAGTTACTGTACACATTTTTGCTGCCTCTACTCACTGATGGGCAGTTCTCAAAACATATTTAGGCAATGATCTAATATTAAAATGCCTTTCTAATACACGTTGGGAAGCGCACGCTGTAGCAATGAGTGTAGTCCTGAAATCATACACTCCAATTCTAGGTGCCTTAGAAAATATTGCTGAAGCCCAGACACAAAAAGGACATACCAAAAGGGAAGCTGAAAGCATCAACAACAAAATGCAAATACTAGAGTGTGTATTTATGTTGATTTTATGAAATAAGATATTGCAATATTTTCATGAGATGAGTCAAGCTCTCTAAGACTCAGAAGTAAATTTAAAGACATGCACCAATCATTAAAAGAGTATACCTGGTGAAGAATGCATGAAGTCATCCAAGAAAATAGTGCAGGTTTATATTGATGATTTAAATACAAACCTTTACAGTGAAGTGCAACAATTTCATTCTTACATGAGACCAAGGTTTACAAATTCAGGAAAGACAATTTTACTCATGTAGTCATGTATGATTCTATAATAAAAGACAAAATACAATGGATATTTCCCAATGTTGAAATTGTTTTACGAATATTCCTAACTTTAATGATCACACACTGCACAACAAAATGCACATTTTCATCCCTAAAGAGACTGAGAAACCCTCAAGATACAACAATGATCCCCAAAACACTCAGCTGATTATCCTTATTATGCATGGAAGGAGATATTGTTCACAATAGTGCTGAAATGAGAGCAAAGAATAGAAAAATATTTTTAATTATAGCATGCTAGAGATGACTCAAAATGAGAACAGCTACAAACATCCTTTAATAATCAGAACATGGAATGAATCTCGGAAAATTAGAAAGTGTCGAAAATGAAATGGAATATTTGAAGAGTGATATCCTAGGCGTTAGTGAACTGAAATGAACTGGTATTGGCCATTTTGAATTGGACAATCATATGGTCTCCTATGCCAGAAATGACAAATTTTAAGAGGTATGATGTCATATTCATTGTCAAAAAGAACATTTCAAGATCTATTCTGAAGTAAAATGTGGTCAGTATGATAGATAATATCTGTACACCTCAGCTACAAGGAAGACCAGTTTATACTACTACACATTTACATACCAACCACTAATGCCAAAGATGAAGAAACTGAAGACTTTTTACCAACTTCTGCAGTCTGAAATTGATCAAACATGAAATTAAGATGCATTGATAATTACTAGTGATTTCAGAATGCAAAAGGAGGGAGCTCTGGTGGTGTAGTGCCTAAGGCATCCGACTGCTAACCAGGAGGCTGGTGGTTCAAACTCACCAGCCATTCCTCGGAAGGAAGGTTAGGCAATCTACTTCCATAGTGATACTGTCTCAGAAACCCAAGGAGGGATCTCTACGAGTCGGATCTGATTCTATGGCAGTGGGCTTGGGCTCGGAATGCAAAAATTGGAAATGAAAAAGGGTCAATAGTTGCAAAATACAGCCTTGGTGATAAAAATGACACTGGCAATTGCATGACAGAATTTTGCAAAACTAATGACCTATTTATTGGAAATACCTTTTTTTCAACAACATAAATGGTAACTATATATGTGGACCTCACCAGATGGAATACAAAGAAATCCAATTGTTGTTGTTGTTTGCCATCGAGTCAGACCTGACTCATAGTGACCCCTCCTTGGGTTTCCAAGGCAGTATCACTACAGAAGTAGATTGCCCACGCCCAAACTTCCTTCCGAGGAGTGGCTGGTGGGTTTGAACCGCCAGCCTTCTGGTTAGCAGTCAAGTGCCTTAGGCACTGTGCTATCAAATTGACTACATTTGTGGAAAGAGACTGTGGTGTAGTAAATTACCTGGTATGGCTTTTCTAGCCATAAGTCTTTGTAAACTCTGTGGTGGAATTTGCTGTGAGCAGCTGAGGAGCTCCTGATTGTAAAAGTTATCCACCTGGTGTATTTCTGTCGATAATGGCACAAAGCAATGTTCTGGGAAGTTCGCTCTCTCTCAGGTGCTTAGAATTCTGATGTTATGATTGGTTAGTTTAGCCACTCTGCCAGGCTCAAAAGGCCTCCTAGAGGCAGAAAAAGTCCCTCTGACTGCTGGCTGAGAAACACTTGCTGCTAAGCGACCTAGAGACACACACTGCTGGGAGAGAGACTGTTGGCTGAGAGACGGTGGACTGAGAGAGAGTGAGTGTACTTCCTGAACTTGAATTGTAGCCTGGTGCTTCCCTAATAAACACCGTAATCTGTGAGTTCTGTGTGGCCACTGCAGCAAATTATCAAACCTAGCAGAGAAGTGGTGGGTGTTGTGGGAGGAACGGTTGGTGCAAGGGCTGGAGGGAGGCAGTATATCAAGCCTCGCGGGAATAGACCTTGGGCTACTTACGGTGATTCTTTCTCTTGTGGGGTTAGAGGAGGTCAGAAGATGCGGCCTCCTTGCCCCTTTAGCAGAGACCATGGAAAATCTCGGTATCATCCATCAAGAGTAGACCGTCAACTGCTCACATGCAAGTTTAAGTTAAAGCTGAAGAAAAAACAAGTCCATGAGAGCCAAAGTGTGACCTTGAGCATATATCACCTGAATTTAGAGATCAAGGATAGATTTGATGCATTGAACACTCAACTTTATAGATTCTCCTACTGTACTATGCACATGGTCATCAAGAGTCTCAATTGACTTGCCAGAAACTGGTTGCTGGTTAATGTTCCCATAGCACTTAGTTTTGACCTGGTTATGGTCTCTTCATTCTGTAGCTCATGAAGTTGAATGCATCACTTATAATTAATTTAGAACTAAAAAGATGGCAGAGACCACACCAGGTTTTAGTGGCACAAATTAACAATAACTAATAACCAAATGAGTGTTTTAGGAAACTTTTGGTTTTACAACGCAAGAACCTATGACCTGTAAATAAGAATTGTATTTGAGGCCCTCAGTTTATACTCTGTAAAATGGGAATAATAATACAGACCTCATAGAGTGTGGTGAGAAGTAAATGAAATAAAATGTGAAATGTGTAAGAATGCCTGGCATTAAATTTAATTTCAAAAATAGAAAAAATGAAGTAGAAAACAAAAGGATTGCTAATAATGTTGTTGTTGTTAAGTGCCGTAGAGTCGTTTCCGACTCATAGCGACCCCATGCACAGCAGAACGAAACACTGCCCGATCCCCCGCCAGCCCCACAATCCCTGCTGTACTTGAGCCCATCACCGCAGCCACCCTGTCAATCCATCTCGTTGAAGGCCTCCCCCTCTTTCGTCGACCCTCCACCCTACCAAGCATGACATCCTTCTCCAGGGAATGGTCCCTTCTTACAACATGACCAAAATAGGTGAGACGAAGTCTGGCCATTCTTGCTTCCAAGGAAGCTAATAATAAGAACAATTAAACTAATAAGTTCCAACTGTGGAAAATAAATGCATCGAAAATCTTGGAGACACTATTTTACAAAAACTTATAGCAAATGACACCAGAAAGGACCTAGAGATCAGCAGTGCGCCTCTATATTCTGCCCTAAACTACACTTCCCCAAATGCACCGTAACAAACCTCCGGAAATGGAACCTGGTGCCGCCGCAGGGGACTGTGTGGAAGGCGTGGTTTCCCTGAGAAAAGGGCGTTTTTCCTTGCAAGGGCGGGAGAATCTTGGGGACAGCCTCCCGGGTAGGCGGGCGAAGGACTAGTGAGCTACCAATCCGTGAGCCAGTCCCTGGAAGCGCTGAGACGCGGCGAATAGGAACGCAGCGACTTCAGGCACGACTGGCGCGCAATAATTTGAATACACTTAGTGAAAGACTGGCTCGGCTGAGAGAAGTCGCGCGACTGTAAGGAGCAGGTAACTACTGCTGAGGGTTGAGGATGGGGTTGGAAGCCTGTGGAAAATGCAAGTTCTGTGGGACTAAGGAGGTGAATGTTAAGGAACGAGCTCTTGCACTGGCCTTGACGGACCAACGGGCTCGAAACCACCCACACATTTTCTACGCTGCCCGGTCACCTAATTTCTCTTTTTGACCGGAGTTTTGTTTTTCTTTTTTTGCCCTGACAGGGTTCAGAGAGAGAGGTGATTGTCTCTTATACCTGAAAGGTCGTCCCTTAAGCTTCACCGCTGTATTAATTCTCAGAGACCTTGATCTTTTCCATTTGTTCATTTAGTTTTTAATGTCACGATTGTGTAATTTTTCGAAATGTATCTGATCCAAACGAAGAGGAAGGGAATTTACCTTTTTTGAGCAACATACTATGTGCTCGAGAGTGCAAGATAATATTCTCAATTGCTTTGCGAAGTCAGTAATAATAAGGAAGAAAACAAGCGGCTTGCTCAGAGCTCTTCTGAGGAGGATTTTATGTTTCGCCTTTTTCTTAATTTATTTTTTGCTGGAAGCTGGTGAGAGAATTAGAAACGTCTTTGCCTTCACTGAACATATAGGCTGTTGAGGAAGACAGTTTAAACAAACAGGTAAATGTATTAAATGGAGTATTAACGAAGTATAGAGTGGAATGCGAGCATAGAACAAGAGCATCTAACAGTGAGAAGGAGGTGTTTCAAGGACGGCTTCCGAAAAGATTGAGTGTTTGAGCGTGGTGTAAAAAATAGTTCCTCCTTGGTAGGGTCATTTTTCAGCCTCAAACCTGTATTATTCCTGCTTTTATTTTCTGTTATTTGCTACTGTAGTGTAGTATTGTTTCATAACTTCATGCTTTCAATCTTTATTAAAATAATTTACCTTTTTAAGAATGCTTTTCCTGCACCTTTATGGACCATCACCCATCTAGAAACTTTTCGAGACTCTTAAAGTATAATTTTGATCAAGTAATTTTTAGATTCATTTGATGAATTTAGTTATTATAATTGAATTACTGCTTTTAGGAATTCAGTTAAGAAGATGGCAGCTGTTACCCCAAGGAAAAGGAAGCAACATTCTTTTAACTTTGACAGGTGAGTCTCATCCTATGGGTAGAAACCTTTAAAAAAGAAAAATCCACCATCCCTTAAAATTTCAATTCTTCCACTCACATACTCCTTGAAGCTACAGTAATATTCTAGTCTGAAAATACTGAAAGTTTTCATAATGCATTTTTGGTCCTTCTGAAGGGAAACACAGAAAAAGCTGTTTTCTATGGCTAGAAAGTACGTCATATCATTTATTACCCTGAACCTTTCCACTGTCCTGTAATATTTAGTATAGTGTTTTACATACAGTTTATTTTTATCTGTAGACAGTCCTAGAAAGTGTGCATACTCAATACTTACTACATGTCATACCAGAGGTATATGACTCCCAATGGAACAGGCCCCAGGGGATAATTTTATTCCAAAGAATTAATCATTATAGGGGACTTGTTGTAACCCGTTGAACAAAGTATGTGAACTATAATTTGCATATGATCAAGCATTACACATTTTAAAACACACACATTGCATATATATATATATATATATATAAGTATATCAGAGCTTCATTGTAAAGAGTGTTTGCTTCCATGAACATTGGGCTCTTCCTTTTGAAAGATATTTGGATACTTTATTTGGTAAAGACAACTTGAGTCAGTTTACTGTTAAACTAATAGATAATACGTGTATATGTATGTTTTGTGGGGAGGTTTATTGTTTTTAATAAGACCTAATGGTAAAGTTGTTTAGTATTTAGCAGTAGATTGAAGTAATAAATATTGAAGCAAAATAATGATACTTATCAGTGGACTTGATTTCTTGTCATAGCCTATTATCAGACATTCCATCAAAGAAATTAATATTGGACTTTACTGAAAATATATTTCTACCGCCTAATAAAAAGCACATTCTCCAAAGCAGTGATAAAAATGAAGAAAAGATGCGTTGCTTTCAAAAAGACCATTTCATTTCAAGTTCCCTTAATACCACATCGTGTCCAACAACTAGAAAAAATAGATTGCCATCTGCAAATCAAGGTTCACCATTCAAATCTGCTGTGTCCGCAGTATCCTTTTACAACAGAGATAAGTGGTACCTCAATCCTTTGGAGAGAAAGCTGATAAAAGAGAGTAGAGCCACTTGTCTAAAAACTAGTAATGAAGAGAAATCTTTTCCCAGTGTGATGGAAAAACTTCAGGGAAAACCTGTCTGCTCTAAGAAGATGAACAAAAAACCACAGAAGAGTTTAACTGCTAAGCATCAACCAAGTTATAAGTGCATCAAGCCTGTATCAAGGAATTCTAAAAATTCCAAGCAAAAGAGAGTGGCTTATAAGCCAATTGTTGAGAAAGAGAATAATTGTTATTCAGCTGAAAACAATCAGAATGCTCCTCGTGTTCTAAGCCAAAAAATAAAACCACAAGTTACACTCCAGGGGGGAGCAGCATTTTTTGTTAATAGAAAAAAATCCTCCCTTAGAAAATTGTCTCTGGAAAATAAGTCATTACTGGGACTTACTGGAAAGAATAAATCAGAAGTGATTGAAGATTCTGATGTAGAGACTGTCCATGAGAGAAAAACTTTTGAGACAAGGCAAGTTCCTAAGTTCTTGCTACAAGAAGTGAACGTGGAGCTGCTGAGTGCAAGAAGTAAAAACGAAGAGAAATTAATAAAGGTAAAAAAAAAGTTACATATATCACTTTAAAAACTAAGTTGGCTGTATAACAAAACATAAATACTACATAATATAGTTGTCTAAAATTTGATTTTCTTTATAGTCCAGAGGACTGCTTTTACGAAGCCAAATAATTTAGAGTTTAGTCACTATAAAGAGTTTAAACAGTGGAAATATGATACTTTTCTCCCTTTTTTGGCTTAAGGGAGCCTACCAACACTTTGTTGGCATTAAGGTATAGATTTTATTAAATTCCCTCCTAGGTATGCTAATGTCCAGATAAATTTAATACCCTTTATTTGGTAATCAATGTTTTTAGAAAGTTAAAATAAGAAAAATCAGGGAGTTTCCAGAGTGTAAGCATATTTGTTTGTTTTAGCTCTATTGCTTAAAGTAATAGATTATTCTTGTTTAAAGACTATAGAAAGTATAAAATAAATACATATATATATGTATATATATCTAACCATTTCAATGTAATCAATATAAAATGTTATTAATGAGATATTTAACATTTTTTGTATTGTACTCAGTCCTCAAAATCAGGATTTATTTTACAATTTAAGCTTGTCTCAATTTGGATTAGTCAATATTTCAATGTTTCTTCTTCTTGGTCAAGTATTGCCAAATATCTTGATAAATGAGACATGTTCTTATTGGTTATGCCATAACTGTCTAGATTCTAATTCTTCATATTCTTTTCCTACCAACAAAACACTTCTGTATCTTAGTAGAGATGACAGTGACATAAGTATATATGTATATATATTTATTTATCAAAATTCATCAAACTGTATACTTTATATTGTACATTTACCTGTACATACATTTACCTTAATTTAAAAAAAAAAATTAGAGGTACAACCCAAGCTCAAATCAGTTCTCAAGCCAGAAAAATAAATGGGGAAGGGCTTTGTATATCCCTCACCCAACTCTCCTGATTAATATTCTTCGTATCTATTTGATAATGAAGATACAGCCTTGCCACAGTGACATGATGAATTCTCTGCAACAGCCTTTTCTGCCTTATTTTCTAAGGTTCACTTTAAGAGGCTAGGTATGGGGTTCTGTTTAGTTTTTAGTAGTCTAAGGAGCTGGACTTTAGGGTATTTTGAATTTGTGAAACTGAGCTCTATTCACTCTTAAGATTTTGTTAAATACCCACAGCAAAGATTAATCTCTGCTAGCTGTTGTCATGAGGGGATATATACCTTTCTCCAACCCAAAGAGTCTTGGGACATGACAAACAGATGGTCATCCTACTTGTGCAGAGATATTTTTTGGTCTTGAATAGGAGTTTGATTTTACTCGAGGTGGTTTTTTGTTTTTTTCCCCTCAAGCTGCATATTCCCTAAGTCTCACAAAATTATTGGTAGTATGAAATGTGGCATGATTTTTTCTACTTTGCGTTTCCTACTTTCATATTACCGCTCAGAAAGTGGGAGTTAGCAGGTTCTCCACCCACTCAAGAATGTTCTTTTTCCTTTTCTTGGGTGGCCATTCTTAAAGTTTATGACCTAATTTTGTCCCTGTACAGTTTGTTGGCTGCTGGGAAATTTTTTGCCATTTTTACTGCTTTTTTGCTGTAATTTTTTATTATTACGAAAGAGATATTTTATAATCTTCATCCTGCCATCTTTATCAGGAAATATATTTTTGACAGGATGACAAGTTAAGACCTAAATATGAGTAATATGACTTTTCTTTTAGAATGTACATTTAGCATATGCAGAGGTACTTTTACTAAAAACTGTCTGAATATAGATGATTTTAAAGCACATTATGAAATGTAATTCATAATAAATTGGAAATTTTCTTTTAGAAACAGATCTATTGGTATTCATTTACTAAATAAATAAAAGTTATAGATTTACTTTACCTATTCATTATTTTCAGAATTTATCAGGTGGAGTAGTTTCTTCAAGACAGTGTAAACTTGATGAAAATAAGTGTTTAACTTTAGAGGATAATCTCACTGAGAATAAGGCAGGTAAGTAAGAGAAAACTTCTCAAAATGAGCTTTGAAATGTTTGGAAATAGATGTGATGGTTGCACAATATGGTGAATTGTAGTTAGTGTCTCTGAATTGTACCATTAAAATGGTTAAAATAACACATTTTTTTGTTATATGTGTTTTAGGAGCTTTGGTGGTGTAGTCCCTAAGGCATTTGACTGCTAACCAGAAGGCTGGTGGTTCAAACCTACCAGCCACTTCTGGGAAGGAAGACTAGGCAGTCTCCTTCTGTAAAGATACTGTCTCAGAAACCCAAGGAGGGGTCTCTATGAGTTGGATTCGACTGGATTGACAAACTCAAGATGAGTTTAGTTACTTATAATTAAAAACAAAAACCCTGACATCGAGTTGATTCTGACTCATAGCAACCCCCATTGGATTTCCAAGGCGGTAAATCTTTACAGCAGTAGATTGCCCCCTCTTCTTCAGTTAGTTGTCTTCGGGCACTGCACCACCAGAGTCCTTTGTTGTTGTTGTTGTCATGTCCCTTCGAGTTGGACTATGCTACCAGAGTGCCTTCAGAGTCCTTTACTTATGATAATGTGTGTGTTAATATGAAAGTCATGCAATAGTAATATTTTCTGGGTCTTTTTTTCCTAGTATGTTTGCCTGTGGTAAGTATCTTTGTGTTTACCTCTGTGACATTGTTTTCTATGGTAAATGATGCAGTGCATTTAGAAAAGCAGTAGACAAGGAGATCTTAGAGTAGAACTTGAGAAAAATGCTAACACTTAATGGTTCTGGGGCTATGGTCACATTGACGAACATACTGGCTAGGTTTTAGCAATTATGAATAAAGCTGCTGTAAACATTCATGTACAAGCTTTTTTGTGGATATGAGTTTTCAGATCACTTGGGTAAATATTTAGGGATGTGATTGCTGAGTTCTGTGGTAAATTTATCTTTATAAAAACTGCAAACTGTCTTCCAGAGTGACTGCTGTTTTGCATTCCATCTGTTACTTTGCATTCTTGTCAGCATTTGTTGTTGCCAGTTTTTTGGATTTTAGCTGTTCTAACACATCTATAGTGGCATGCCATTATGATTTTAATTTGTATTTCCCTTAGGACAAATGATGCTGAGCATCTTCTCATATGTTGTCTTGCCATCCATGTAGCTTCTTTGGTAAAATGTTTATTCAAATCTTTTGCCCGTGTTTAATTGGATTGTTTGTTTTCTTGTTGCATTTTAAGAGTTCTTTATATGTTCTGCACACAAGTCTTTTATCAGATACGTGTTTGTAAATATTTTCTTCCAATCTGTGGCTTGGATTTTGATTCTCTTAACAATATTTTTAGCAAAGCAAAGTTTTTAAATGTTATAAAGTCCATCTTATTTAATTTGTTCAGTCAGGTATCATGATTTTAGTTGTATCTAAAAACTCATCACTGAGCCTAAGTTCATGCAGATTTTTCTCTTAAATTTTCTTCTAGAAATCTTATGATGTTATGTTTACATTGAGATCTATGATCTTTTTAAGTTTTTGTATAAGGTGTGGGGTATGTGTCTAAGTTCACTCTTTTGCATATGAACCTCTAATTCCAGCACCATTTTCTTAAAAAGACTATCCTTTCTCCATTGGATTACCTTTGCCTTTTTGTCAAAAATCAGTTGATTATATTGTTTGGATCCATTTCTAATCTGTCTGTCCTTTTGCCAATACCATTACTTTATTTTTTTTTTTCTTTTTGTTTTTGCAGTATGAATATATACAACAAAATATATACCAGTTCAACAGTTTTCTACAAGTATAATTCAGTGACATTGATTATATTTTTCAACGATTCTTACTATTCTTTTCCAAATTATTCCACCATCACTGACATAAACTCACTGTCCCCTTAGCAAAACTCCGCCTTTCCCCTTCCCTCCCACCCCTGGTAACTACTAGTACTTTTTGGTTGCTGTATATTTGCTTATTTCATATAAAATTGAGATCATACAGTATTTGTCCTTTTGCAATTAATTAGCATAATGTTTTCAAGGTTCATCTGTGTTGTGGCATACATCAGGACTTCATTTTTCTTTATGGCTGTGTAATATTCTACTGTATATATGTACCACATTTTGTTTATCCATTTATCTGTTGATGGACCTTTCAATTTTTCAATCTTTTGGCTCTTGTGAAAGTGCTGCAAGAACATTGGTGCACAGATTTCTGTTTGTGTTCATGTTTTTACTTCTGGGTATATACATGGGATTAGAATTGCTGAGTCATATAGTAGTTCTATATTCAACTTTCTGAGAAATCAGCAGACTGTTTTCCACAGTGGCTGTACCATTTTACATTCTCACTAACAATGAATGAGTGTTCCAATTTCTCCACAACCTTGCCAACAACAATTGTTTTT